AGCAACGTCGGATGTGCTTTTCGTCTGGAGCTCCTTGTGCCAAGAGATATCAAAGCGTGCAGCAACGTCGGATGTGCTTTTCGTCTGGAGCTCCTCGTGCGTTCGGCGGCGGTAGCGCAGCGCCTTTTGTAGCAACTGGGCGTTGGTCGTATTGGCGTCGAGCTCGTGGAGTTGCGAGAGCATGCCTTGCAGACCCTTCTCAGTGCGGGTCTTGACACGTTCGTCCGAGTACGTCAAGCACAGTTGACGGCGATGGGTTGCTCTTCTTGTCGTCACACACGCACAAAGTGTGTTGCCTCTCACAGCCCAACGGATGCATGGTGGCGCGAGTGGTGGCGCATGTCTGTGCAACCCTTGTTTGATTTGATTCGTATTTTCGTACCCGCCGTTGCCAGTACGACGAGATGTCGTTTCTCGGACGTGGCGTTACATATATTTTGTTTTCGTCTTTTCTGGGGGGTGAAAATCAGCACCTGGAATTCAAATGCGATTGCCTTGAAAGCACTGGTTCAAAACGAGAATGCTATTGCAGTACCACCGCACTCGACATCAATCTCTCTAGCACTCCAACGCTTTGGCTATAGAGCTGGTGGATAGGGTAAACATACTTGGAAGGCAGTCGATAAATCACCATCCTCGAATATCACTTTGGTTTTCGGAGATTGATTGCCACAGTCTCTCTGTGCAGTACATGCAGGCAGCAGCGACTTTTGCACGGTCTTGCTAACGTTAGCACGTATTTTTAGCCGCCGATGCGTTGTACGAATCATGCGATACGTCGATGAGGGGCACGCGACAACACTTGGGACGACGCGATCGAAAAAGATCGCTTTGGCCGTTCCTGATTGGTCGTTGATCGTAAAGTGGAGCTTGTGATTGGCCAGATTCCATTTGCGTCGTCCCGCCGTGCGTGTTTATACTACGTTACGATGGAAACGGCCTGCGGTTTCTCGCTGCCCTGCCGTACGAATCAATGAGCTGGTGCCCCTACCAAATCTTCATTTTCCAATTTGCCGCAAACCACGTACATCAACGATGGC